GGACCCTGAAGAAGGGTCTAGGCCCGAAACGTCAGCCTTCCTGCTCCTCTGATGCTGCTTGGCCTGCTGTGTTCATCCAGCTCTACACCTTGTTATACTCAATGGTACTCTGGGTTTACTAACAGCACACGGACTACAGCATTTTAAGGTACATTACTCCCACTTTTTCAAAGGCAATTAAGAATGGGAAATAACTGCTGGCCTTACTAACGATGCTCGCATTCCATGAAAACAAAATTGGAACCTTTGAACTTTTCCCTTCTTTTATAGAAACTTCCTTTATAAAATCTGTTTTTAATGTCAATTGCTGTTAACATAATCGTAATTATTTCCACAATGAAATACAACATTACTAATGGATTTATGTAGATTATTAGATAACCCTCCTACCCTTTGCTGCTCTGAGAGTTCATTTTGTTTTTCTTCAATTTGTTGCTGAAGCATGAATAACTCTTGCTCCTTTCTTTTCTCTTTCTCCAGACAAGCCTGATATTTACGTGCACTTTGATTTACATTTTCCTTCAACGTCAGCTGTTCAGTTTTTAACACATCACGCCTTTTAGTAATATTCTGAAGGTCCTAGGAAATTCATGAAACATCAATGACTATCTGACATTAGCATTTATTATGAAAATGCAGCCTTCTCAACTTTGCCCCTCACCCGCGGTGAGATGACGCTCACATTAAATTCACCAATTGTTTCTCTCTAATGACAAAACAACCCTATGGTCCTCATGGACTATGGCGACTTTACAGAAAATACAAATTTTGCAAGTATTAAGTTACAGTTAATTGAACAATTAAAAATCTAAATACTTCACATGGTTTTTGTTGAACAAGGTATAACAATTTCTGAACATGCATTGTTTATCATTGTACAAAAGCCTTTTTCTGTGCTATAACTCAACTGGAAAGATTAAACTAAGTGAACATTACACAATTACTAAATTGCACTTGTTGTAAGTATTTAGAATATATAGCTATAAAATGTGTTCCACTGAGATACTTTGGATCTGTTTACCAAGAAAGAAAAATCAAGGAAGTATTGTCCATACATAAAATATCATAACTTATAGAATCATTCAGCACAGAAATAGACCCTTCAGTCCACCTCGTCTGCGGTGACCAGACATCCTAATCTGACCTAGTCTCAATTACCAGCATTTGGCCCACATCCTTCTGAATCCTTCCTATTCATACACCCATCCAGATGCCTTTTGAATGTTGTAATTGTACCCGCCTCCATCACTTCCTCTAGCAGCTCGTTCCATACATGCATAGCCCTCTCTGTGAAAATGTTACCCCTTAGGTATTTTCAAATCTTTCTCCTCTCACCTTAAACCTGTGTCCTCTAGTTTTGGACTCCCCCACCCTAGGTAAAAGACTTTGGCTATTCACCCTATCCATGCCCCTCATGATCTTAGAAACCTCTATAAGGTCATCCTCTGCCTATGATGCTCCAGGGAAAACCGCCCCAGCCTATTCAACCTCTCTCTATGACTCCTTATACCCTCCAGTCCCGGCAACATCCCTGTAAATTTTTTCTGCACCCTCTCAAGTTTAACAACATCCTTCCTATAGAATGGCTACCAGAATTGTACTCAGTATTCAAAAAAGTGGCTTCACCAATGTCCTGTACAGCTGAAACACGATATCCCAACTCCTACACTCAATGTTTTGACCAATGAAGGCAAGCGTGCCAAACGCCTTCTTCACCATCCTGTCTACCTGTGACTCTACTTTCAAGGAACTATGCATCTCTGTTCCAAGGTGCTTTTGCTTGGGAACACTCCCCACTACCATTAACTGTATAAGTCATGCCCTGACTTGCCTTACCAAATTGCAACACTTCATATTTATCTAAATTAAACTCCTCAGCCCATTGGCCCATCTGGTCAAGATCCTGTTGTACTCTGAGATAATCTCCTTCACTGTCCACTACAGCTCCAATTTTGGTGTCATCTGCAAACTTACTAATCATACCTCCTATATGCGCATCCAAATCATTTACATAAATGATGAAAAGCAGTGGACCCAGCACTGACCCTTGTGGGATTTTAATCAAAATATCACACAGCTACTGTAAAATATTCTTTTTTTAAAAGAATGCTTCATTGTTTTGAGCTCTATGAAAATAAAGTTACTGAAAATTATATTTATGATTTTCATATTTTTCCCCATTTGAGTTGACGACATAATCAATAACCCCTTGCCTACTGCATTCCACTTATTGATAATGGAATATCTAGCACTCCATAAAATAGTTTACAAGTTACTTTTACTCTATCCATTCTTAAACCTCACAATCAACTCTGTATAAACACATGGGGGTTCAAATTAAAACAAAATCATGGCTTTACCTGATCTGCTAATTGCAGCTGATCTTTGGTATCTCTGAGATTATTCATCACCATTTGCAGCTCTGCCTTCCTCTCTATTCAATAGAAATAGTTTCTGATTAAGTATGAAATGTTTTAATTTTTTTGTATTTCCCTCACCTACTGAAAGTTGTTCCAAAGACATCTGACCAAAAAAAATTAGGTATCAATATTAACAATATTCTGATCTATTGTTCTAAGCATAGCAAAGCAGGACTTTTGCCAGCGATCCATCAAAAATATTAGGGTCAGTTCATTTTGATATTGCGAAGTAGGAAAAATGATGTATATGCAATCCGCAGGTTGCAAATCGATTCCATTCAAGTCCATTTGCAAGCCAATTTGCTTGCAAGTTAGAACACAATGCAGGACAATATAAAGGAGCCATCAGCAATTCGCAATTTCAATTTCCATTTAGGATTAAATTTTTTCATCTTCAAGCAGCTGTTTTCCTACCATCCTTTGCCAATTAGAATGTGGATCATGAAACAGCTTCTAATTTTACTGTTCCTTGCTAATTTGGTCAGCAGAAGGCAAATCACCAAAAGGCAAATTCTTGATTTGAGTGGCGGAAAAGGCGAGAGCGTGAGCCAGGGGGCAGCCGGGAAGGTAAGGTTTTCCTTATAAAACCTTGCCTCATGAGTCAGCGGCCTTCTTGATTTGAGTGGTGGGAGAGGTGAGAGTGGGGGTGGGGCAGTGAACTATTATATTCGGGCATTGGCTAAACCCGAAACACTACACGTGTAGTGTCTCCCACCCTTCCTCCTCCTCTAGCCAAAAAACAGACTGTGGGGAGGGTCGGAAAGACAAGGTAAGGTTTTTTTTCTTTATTCTTTTGGCAATCTAGAATAGAGGGACTGGAAGTTAGGGCAGTTGCATGCTCCTCTTGTAGGATGTGGGATGTAAGGGTCACTATTAGTGTCCCTTCTGACTTCACCTGCGAGAAGTGCACCCAACTCCAGCTCTTCACAGCCCGCGTTAGGGAACTGGAGCTGGAGCTGGAGCTGGATGAACTCCAGATCACTTGGGAGGCTGAGGGGGTGATAGATAGGTGTTATAAGGAGGTGGTCGCACCCAAGTTACAGGACATAGGTAGCTGGGTGACTGTCAGGAGGGGGAAAGGGAATAGGCAGATAGTGCAGGGATCCCCTGTGGCTGTTCCCCTCAATAATAAGTATACCACTTTGGATACAGTTGACGGGGACGACCTACCAGGGGAAAGCCATAGCGTCCAGATCTCTGGCACTGAACCTGGCTCTGTGGCTCAGAAGGGAAGGGGGGAGAATAGCAAAGCGATAGTGATAGGCGATTCAATGGTTAGGGCAACAGACAGGAGATTCTGTGATACCGAGCGAGACTCCCAGATGGTATGTTATCTCCCGGGTGCCAGGGTCAGGGATGTCTCGGATCGAGTCTTCAGGATTCTTGAGGGAAGGGAGAGCAGCCAGAAGTCATGGTACACATCGGTAGCAATGACATAGCTAGGAAACGGGATGAGGACCTGAAAAGTGAATATAGGGAGTTAGGATGGAGGCTAAAACGCAGGACAAGCAGAATAGTAATCTCAGGATTACTACCGGTGCCACAGGATAGTGAGGCGAGGAATAGACAGCAAGTGCAGCTGAATGCGTGGCTACAGAGCTGGTGTAGGAGGGAGGGCTTCAGATATGTGGATCATTGGGATACCTTCTGGGGAAGGTGGGACCTGTACAGGAAAGACGGGTTGCACCTGAACTGGAGGGTCACCAATATCCTGGGCGGGAGGTTTGCTAGGGCTCTTTGGGAAGTTTAAACTAGTTTGGCAAGGGGATGGGAACCGGAGTTACAAATCAGAGGATGGGGTAGCCCATGTACAGGCAGTTAGAGCAAGCAGAGAATCTGTGAGGAAGGATAAGCAGTTGATAGGGCAAAGTGGCAGTCAGTGCAATGGGTTGCGGTCTACTTCAATGCAAGAAGTGTCAGGAATAAGGGTGACGATCTCAGAGTATGGATCAGTACTTGGAACTACGATGTTGTGGCCATTATGGAGACTTGGATAACACAGGGGCAGGAATGGTTGTTGAATGTTCAGGGGTATAGATATTTCAAAGGAAAAAGGGAGGGAGGTAAAAGAGGTGAGGGAGTGGCATTGCTAATCAGGGATAGTATCACAGTTGCAGAAAGGGAGGTCATAGAGGAGGGTTTGTCCACTGACTCAGTATGGGTGGAAGTCAGAAACAGGAAAGGAGCAGTCACTTGATTGGGAGTTTTCTATAGACCCCCCAAAAGCAACAGAGACACTGAGGAACAGATTGGGAGGCAGATTTTGGAAAGGTGCAGAAGTAATAGGGTTGTTGTCATGGGTGACTTCAACTTCCCTACTATAGACTGGAACCTCCTAAGTGCAAATAGTTTGAATGGAGCAGATTTTGTTAGGTGTGTCCAGGAAGAATTTCTGACTCAATATGTAGATAGGCCGACTAGAGGGGAGGCCAAATTGGATTTGGTGCTTGGCAATGAACCAGGCCAGGTGTCAGACCTCTCAGTGGGAGAGCATTTCGGTGATAGTGATCACAACTCCCTGACTTTTACTATAGTCATGGAGAGGGACAGCAGCAGATGGTATGGGAAAGTATTTAATTGGGAGGGGGGGAATTACAATGCTATTAGGCAAGAACTGCAGAGCATAAATTGGGATCAGATGTTTTCAGGGAAATGCATGACAGAAATGTGGAGGTTGTTTAGGGAGCAGTTGCTACAAGTACTGAATAGGTTTGTCCCACTGAGGTAAGGAAAGAATGGTAAGGAACCTTGGATGACAAGACATGTGGAACACCTAGTCAAGAGGAAGAAGGAAGTTTACTTAAGGTTGAGGAAGCAAGGATCAGACAGGGCTCTAGAGGTCTATGAGGTAGCCAGGAAGGAACTGAAGAATGGAATTAGGAAAGCTAGAAGGGGGTATGAGAAAACCTTGGCAGGCAGGATCAAGGAAAACCCCAAGGCGTTCTATGCTTAGGTGAGGAACAAGAGGATGGCCAGAGTGAAGGTAGGGCAATCAGGGATAGTGGAGAGAACTTGTGCACGGAGTCAGAGGAGGTAGGGGAGGTCCTTAATGAATACTTTGCTTCAGTATTCACCAATGAGAGGGACCTTGACGTTCAGGCAGATATGATCGAACAGGTTGATGTTAGGAAGGAGGATGTGCTAGAAATTTTGAAAAACATGAGAATAGATAAGTCCCCTGGGCCAGAAGGGATATACCCAAGGTTTCTACGGGAAGCGAGTGAAGAGATTGCTGCTCCTTTGGCAATAATCTTTACGTCCTCACTGTCCACTGGAGTAGTACCAGATGATTGGAGGGTGGCAAATGTCATTCCCTTGTTCAAGAAAGGAAATAGGGATAATCCTGGGAATTACAGACCGGTCAGTCTTACTTCTGTGGTGGGCAAATTATTGGAGAGGATTCTGAGAGATAGTATTTATGATTGTTTGGAAACGCACAGTTTGATTAGAAATGGCATGGCTTTGTGAGGGGCAGGTCATGCCTCACAAACCTTATTGAATTCTTTGAGGATGTGACAAAACACATTCATGAAGGCAGAGCAGTGGATGTGGTGTGCCAACCTTAGCAAGGCATTTGATAAGATTCCACATGGTAGGTTCATTCAGAAAGTAAGGAGGCATGGGATTCAAGGAAATTTGGCTGTCTGGATACAAAACTGGCTGTCCAATAGAAGACAGAGGGTGGTAGTAGATGGAAAGTACTCAGCCTGGAGCTTGATGACCAGTGGTGTTCCGCAGGGATCTGTTCTGGGACCTCTCCTCGTTGTGATCTTTATAAATGACTTGGATGACTTGGAAGGTTGGGTTAGTAAGCTTGCCGATGACACGAAGGTTGGTGGAGTTGTGGTCAGTGTGGAGGGCTGTTGTAGATTGCAATGGGACACTGAAAAGAAGCAGAGCTGGGCAAAGAAGTGGCAGATGGAATTCAACAACGAAAAGTGTGAAGTGATTCATTTTGGAAGGTCGAATTTGATTGCAGAATACAGGGTTAATAGCAGGATTCTCGGCAGTGTGGAGGAACAGAGAGATCTTGGGGTCCACATCCATAGATCCCTCAAAGTTGCTACCCAAGTCGATAGGGTTGTAAAGAAGGTGTATGATGTGTTGGCTTTCATTGGCAGGGGAACTGAGTTTAAGAGCTGCAAGGTTATGCTGCAGCTCTACAAAACTCTGGTTAGACCACACTTGGAATATTGTGTTCAGTTCTGGTCACCTCATTATAGGAAAGATGTGGAAGCTTTAGAGAGTGTGCAGAGGAGATTTACCAGGATGCTGTCTGGAGTGTAGGGCAGGTCTTATGAGGAAAAGTTGAGGAAGCTAGGGCTTTTTTTCATTGCAGCAAAGAAGGATGTGCTCCTCCAGCTCCACACTGTGTTATCTCTGACTCCAACATCGGCAGTTCTTACTATCACTGGAATAACAGCATTTTGTGTTTTACAAAATGATTAATTGATGTACCTTGCAGACAGGTTTCCATGTCTCCAATTTTCCTGTCTAGCTCTTCCTTTTGGATAGTGACTTGACTGATTTCCTGACTCAGTTCACTTATCTCAGTTTGTTGTTTCTGCAGTTTACCTGCAGCATTTCTGTTATTGTCTTCAGTGGCTTCAAAGGCTCTGGAATAACAAAGGTGAAATATGAAAATCATATTTATAAATCTGTCTGAATTCCAAGAAGTCATTTAAAATTTAATCGTTTCAGGTTTAATGCAAAGGCATCAAAACATATGTGGAGAAATACTGAAAAAAATTATTGGATTCAATGCATTAGATTCAAATAAAAATTTTAATAGAGCGTTCTGCATAATATGAAATCCTCTTGGTGTCCATTTGCACATGCATATTTTGGGTGGCAGCTGTGGAGTGCAAGTCAGCTGGAGAATTATAACATTTGAGGACATGGTGCTACAATGGTTGATACATTCAGTGCTGCCTAGGAACAATGGAGTGATCTGTTGTTGGGTTTTCAATGGGTCAACTAGATCAGTTCTAGGGTCAGGCAGAGGTAGTATTGCTGTAAGTTCTTACTGCTCAGAGGGAGGGAAAGAAGAGGTTCCATCTCAAAAGCATATAACAGGCTCTCAGCAGTCAGGACTAAGAAAAAAACACAAGAAATAGGAGGAGGCCATTCAGCCTTTGATTCCCTTATTGGTAAACAAAAATCTGTCTCAGCCTTGAATATACTTAACAACCCAGCCTTGACACCCTTCTGCAGTAAGTAATTTCACAGATTCACTACACTTTGAGAGAAGAAATTCCTCAGGTCTTAAATATGTGAATCCTTATTCTGAGATTATATCTTGGCGTTGACTCTACCACAAGGGGAGACAACTTTACTGCAGCTACCTTGTCAAGTCCCTTAAGAGTCTTGTGTATTTCAATAAGGTCACCTCTCATTCTTCTAAATTCCAATGAGTACAAGCCTAACCTGCTCCACCTCTCCTAAGACAGTCACTCCAAACTTGGTGTCAGCCTAGGGAATCTTCTCTGGACTACCTTCAATGCCAGTATATCTTTCCTTAGATAAGGGATTTAAAACTATTCACACCTGTGGTCTGACTGATACCTTGTACAATTTTAGCAAAATTTCACTCGATTGCCTTTGAAAAAAAAGCCAACGTTCCATTTGCCTTCCCTGTTACCTGCTGAACTTGGATACAAACTTTTTGTGTTTCATGAATGAGCACACCCAAATCCCTCTGTTCTGTCGCTTTCTGCAATCTTTCTCCTTTTAAATAACATTCAGCTTCTCTATTTTTCCTGCAAAAATGAGCTTACATGTTTCCCACATTTTCTATCGTCAAGGAAAAGAGCAGAAATAACTTCTCAGGTTCTCAGAATAATCTTAACCAGTTCAGGAAAAATTTAACGTCTACTTAAAAAGTAGGGTAAATAATACCTGTGAATTATGTTTAAAGCTGTGATAAAAAAAAGTGAATGTTCTGTTTTGTGGTTTAAAGTACAAGTTGCCTATAAAGATGGTGTATAATCAATTATATTTTTGATTTTCTGTTACCATAGAAGTCTAAAACTCGAAATTCTGACATCCTGCCTTCCATCACGAACTGGAAGTCTGAATTTCTTTTTAAAGTTTTCAGTCTTCAGAAATTGTAAAGAGCGCTTTCAAAGTGTGTGGTCACTGTTTAATGTGAAAATCATGTGATCAATTAGGGCACAGCGAAGCCTCGCAAACAGTAATGAAATAAATGACCAAATCATCTATTTTTGGAATTGATTGAGGAATAAATTTTGGCTTGGACATCAAATTCTGTAGATATACTTCAAACAATGCTGAGACACTTCTGTGGTCTCATCTGAGAGACAGCACCTACAACAGTGCAGCATTTCCTCAGTACTGTAAGTAAAAGGAAACTGGAAAAATTGAACTTATGATGTATCAAGCTAGGCTTCACTCTGGGATCCACCATCAGCTGGGATCATGACAGTATTACTTATCTGTGTTGTGTAATCTGGCTTATTAAGATTATTTTTAGCTGTGTTAGTGCTTTTTTTGAAATCGAACAGGGTTCATCTCAGCTCTGCTCCTTACTTTTTGGCTTGAGTAAGTTTGTTTTCCAATACAAGGCAACTTCCTTTAATGTGGCTTTTCTCTCTCTCCAGAGATTCAATATTGTGCTGAAGTGAACTTATCTTGCTGTTCAGCTGGTCTACATCTTGCCGATCCTTCTCAATAAGCTGTTTCTGGTGGTCTATTTCTGCTCGTTGACACTGGGAAGTAAGTTGCAGGTTTTCCAATTCACTCTTCTCCTAAACAAAATGAAATTTAATAAGCCTATAAAAATTAACCATGTAATATGACCAAATAAGTCTGACTACTCTGACTACAACCTGGGTCCTTTCTTAAAAAGTATATTATGCATAAAGTTATGGTGATAAATATGCCTGTGCTCCTTTTAGGATTATTTTAAAATAAAAGTGTGCATTTGTGGAACAAAAGCTTAAATTCTTGATTATACTAGTGATATTACCTGCTGTAATAGGCCATTAAAGAAAAGAATGCTTTTACGCACAATACTAAAATAACATGGAATCTGCCTAAGGAAAAATGAACCAAAGTCTTTAAAAGGGGACAAAGAACCAACCTTTGAACGGCCATGATGTAGCACTTCTCTGTTTCACTAGGCTCATTGATAGAGATGAAACCTTGTCAATTGAAGGTGGATTTCACCAATGAAAAGCTTCCTCTCTCAGTAAATAGTCATGTTTTACATGCCACTAGTACTTAGAATTGAGATTATAATCATGTGGGAAACAGCAAAAACCAAGAAACCAGTTGACCAATTATAGTTAGAATGTCAGGAATGACACTCTATTGACAAATTCCTGTTTTTTAAATGTGTGGAATGTTTCTTACTTTCAGCTTTTTAACAGCTGACTTTAATTTTTGTACTACACCCCCTAATCCTTTACTCCTGAATCCTCAGAATAGTTTCTCCACCTCATTTGATCTCCATAATATCTTGAAAACAGTGATTAAATCCCTTTTTCTAAATTCAAGAGAATGCAATCCTAGTTTGTTTACTCTCTCAACAATGTAAACTGATGCTGCTAAGATGGTGTCCAGAACTGCTATCAGTACTCCAGATCTAAACAAGGTTTTGTGCAGCTGATGTATGTTTTCTACCCCTTGGTTTTCATGTCTTCCAGGTACAAAGGTCAACACTGTATTCACACTTTCTGATTATCTTTTGCACTTGTCCATGATATTTTAATGACAGAATGATAATACCTTTGTTAGTCCAAGTTTCTTTGTACCTCCACTGTTTTCACCTTCTCACACATAGAAGTACCCAGTTTTAGAATTTTGATTCTAAAGTGGATGACATCACATCTGTCTGCATTGAAACCATTTGCTACAGTTTTGCTCATTCACTTAACTTATCAATATCTCTTCATTTTTGACTAAATTACATAGAGGGTTGAAATGCATAAAATAGTTATGTCATGAATATGGAATTTCAAAAGGCACTTGATAAAGTACTTGATAATAGATTTGTTAGCAAAATTGAAGGCCACGAAATTGAAGTAGCAACGGCCATGTAGATATGACATTGACTAAAGGTCAGAAAACAAAGAGCTGTTGTGAATATTCTCTCTCAGACAGGAAGAAGGTGGTATGCAGGTTGTTTTATACAGGTCAATGTATGTACCAACATTGTAAATGTTATTTGTATTTATAATGTCACTACACAGGAGAAATTCTTTTATCATTGTCTCTTGAAGGTAATTTTACATTGTATTTTATTGCACAAATCACAGACCTCCCGCAGCACTGCTTGTATTCTGTCCAGTTCCTTCACTTTCAGCTCATGTTGCTGTTTCAATTCCAGAAGTTCATCATTTTCTAACTGCACCATTTCCAGAACATGTTTCAGCTCTAGGGAAGAAAACGGATAGCAAATAAAGTCTGCATTTGATGGAGACAGAAGTATCCGTAAAGGAAAAAGAAGCAAAGGAATAACTTTTTATCTGGACTGCTTTAAAGCTGAAGTTAGAAAGTTAAAATGTAACATCTTGACATATACGTGTTACTGATTAACATTAAAAGCTACATGATGATAATGCACTAAACAAATTTTGCACTCCCATTTGATCTCAATAAAAAGAATGCACGGAGAAATATTGCCTCCATTAATTACCTAGCCTCCTAACCATTACAAAAGTAGAAGCTTTTCCATTGTCTGAGCATGATGAAACTAAACAATAACCGACCAATACAAAGTTTTCTCTACAAGTAATTTGTTAGGAAATCGACCATGAAGTAATAAACTAAGACCAGCAAAATTTCAAGGATTTCTGATACAAATCTAAAATATCAACTGCTCATTCCATATATTTTAAGATTCATGTCTTGTAAACAAATGTCCGTCAATTCTCAAACAGCTGACTGGGAACGAGCATTTCATATCAGCATGTACTAAAAAAGAATCCTTTTCAACACAGTGGATAAACTATAACCATTGAATAAACCTCCCTCACTTTACACTTAAGTTCGGTAAGATACTAAAAATTTAGGAACAAGGTGGAGCTACTCATTGTAACTTCAAACTTTAACAAAATGACTGTCTCATCATTTTGACAGCGTTAAGAAAACTTATGTTTTATCTATTCTCAATTACTTGTCAGCAAAACAATTTTCAAGAAATTAATATTGTCACAGAACAGTTTCTATGCTAACAATTATGTTGGAAAACGTTTTGCAATTTTTGGAAACCAACCTGTCTTTTGCTTGATTGTCTGTGCTCGCAAGCTCTGAAGCCTTACTTCCTCATTCATCACTTCTTGTTTTGACAAGAAAAGCTGTGAGTTCTTTTCACTGATCTGAGCATTAAGTTCACCTTTTTGTGCACTCATTTCTTCAAGCAATGCCTTCAGTTCCTGTAAATCATATTTTTAAAAATAGAATTTCAGCATGTTTTATCACACATTATAGTCCTAAAAACAGATCTTACTGTAAAAATATTTCAGATGTAACCTCTGATTAGAAACACTGATTTTTGGTTAGCATACATACAATCATAAATAAATAAGGTACAGAGAGACCAGACGTCCTAAAATTCAGCATAGCAAGTGTCTCCTCTTAATCTACAAAACACATACAAATTGAAAGATTTTATAGATCAGTTTGGGTCTCCAGTTTTCCCTTCAAAATTGATAAGACATATGTCCCAAATGGATCTATCCATTTTAAAGGTACTACCATGTTTAACTATTTGTTAACTAGTTGATCGAGCACAATTTCTGCACATTATGATTTTGTTAAGACATCAATTTTAAATTAAAAAATAATTCCTAATAATCAACACAAAATAATCTCATAACACAAAAAATCACGTTTCACAACTGTGACATTGGTTTTAATTCTGTTTGTTACGGCAAATGAAATATTAAATAAAAACCGAAAGAACTACGGATGCTGTAACTCAAACAAAAACAGAAGTTGCTGGAAAAGCTCAGCAGGTCTGGCAGCATCTGTGAAGAGAAATCAGAGTTAACGTTTTGGCTCCTGAGCCGTTAACATTAACTCTGATTTCTCTTCACAGATGTTGCCAGACCTACTGAGCTTTTCCAGCAACTTCTGTTTTTGTCAATGAAATATTAACTAACACTTCAAACTACAAAATATGCCCTAACTTCCTAATGCAACTGAAAACCCCATAGCATGCCTACACATTAGACTACACTCAGTAGAAATGAAGCACCGTGTTTGCAGTCCTTAAGTTTCTTTCGGCTTTAACAAAATCTCTTCAATCTGGCCCACAAGGGTGAACCTATCAGTTTCCTTTTAAAACAAAATTGCTTTCACTCAATCTTCTGACCATATTTAAATAGGCTTCTAGTAGCAAGGCACCCATTGACAACTCTTTTGTCTTTAACTTTGTCTTTAATCTTTTCTTATTGACATACTACTTGGGAGGTTAAACAGAAAAAATCTTTCGTCCTCTACTTGGCATAGCAACATCTAGTATGAGTCTTCTTCCCTAAATCTCCCTATCTGACTCAGAGTATGTATGCAGCAAGAAGTGCTGCCTTCTCTTTTGCGTCCAGGTGTTAAAGCTTGCACCTCACTTTCAATCAGTTTTGACATGAGGCCCTATCCCAATGGTAACCAAACATCACATTGACTTGTCACTGTGTATGTTTAGGACGAGGTCATATGGGTTCTTGTCAAAACATTACATTTTACATTAAATTAGAAGGGACATTTAAAATATAGCCATTTTACAAGGTTCAGCACTTGCAAAGGTAGAGTTTTCCCCAAGATTAATCTTTCAACATCAGCTGCGAATCTGTCTGAAATAAATGGAGTAAAAACAAAAGGTACTGGGGCAATTGAGCAGGTCTGGCAGCATTTGTGGAGAGAGAAACAGTCAACGTTTCAAAGAGTTACACTGGACTCAAAACATTAACTCCAAATCTATCTCCACAGATGTTGCCTGACCTGCTGAGTTTCTCCAGTATTTTGTCTTTATTTCAGATTTCTAGAATCAGCAGTACTTTGCTTTTGCTGAAAAAGATGTAGTCGAGGAGAATACTAAGATACAGTCTATTAGACTAGACGGGATTGAGGTTCATAAGGAGGAGGTGTTAGCAATTCTGGAAGGTGTGAAAATAGATAAGTCCCCTGGGCCGGATGGGATTTATCCTAGGATTCTCTGGGAAGCTAGAGAGGAGATTGCAGAGCCTTTGGCTTTGATCTTTATGTCGTCATTGTCTTCAGGAATAGTGCCAGAAGACTGGAGACTAGCAAATGTTGTCCCCTTGTTCAAGAAGGGGAGTAGAGACAACCCTGGTAATTATAGACCAGTGAGCCTTACTTTGGTTGTGGGTAAAGTGTTGGAAAGGATTATAAGAGATAGGATTTATAATCATCTAGAAAGGAATAATTTGATTAGGGATAGTCAACACGGTTTTGTGAAGGGTAGGTCGTGCCTCACAAACCTTATTGAGTTCTTCGAGAAGGTGACCAAACAGGTGGATGAGGATAAAGCGGTTGATGTGGTGTATTTGGATTTCAGTAAAGCGTTTGATAAGGTTTCCCATGGTAGGCTATTGCAGAAAATACGGAGGCATGGGATTGAGGGTGATTTAGCGGTTTGGATCAGAAATTGGCTAGCTGTAAGAAGACAGAGGGTGGTGGTTGATGGGAAATGTTCATCCTGGAGTTCAGTTACTAGTGGTGTACCTCAAGGATCTGTTTTGGGGCCACTGCTGTTTGTCATTTTTATAAATGACCTGGATGAGGGCTTAGAAGGATGGGTTAGTAAATTTGCGGATGACACCAAAGTCGGTGGAGTTGTGGATAGTGCGGAAGGATGTTGCAGGTTACAGAGGGACACAGATAAGCTGCAGAGCTGGGCTGAGAGGTGGCAAATGGAGTTTAATGCGGAAAAGTGTGAGGTGATTCACTTTGGAAGGAGTAACAGGAATACAGAGTACTGGGCTAATGGTAAGATTCTTGGTAGTGTGGATGAGCAGAAAGATTTCGGTGTCCATGTGCATAGATCACTGAAAGTTGCCACCCAGGTTGATAGCGTTGTTAAGAAGGCGTACAGTATGTTAGGTTTTATTGGTAGAGGGATTGAGTTTCGGAGCCATGAGGTCATGTTGCAGCTGTACAAAACTCTGGTGCGGCCGCACATGGAGTATTGCGTACAGTTCTGGTCACCGCATTATAGGAAGGATGTGGAAGCATTGGAAAGGGTGCAGAGGAGATTTACCAGGATGTTGCCTGGTATGGAGGGAAGGTCTTATGAGGAAAGGCTGAGGGTTTTGAGGCTGTTTTCGTTAGAGAGAAGAAGGTTAAGAGGTGGCTTAATAGAGACATACAAGATGATCAGAGGATTAGATAGGGTGGACAGTGGGAGCCTTTTTCCTCGGATGGTGATGGCTAGCACGAGGGGACATAGCTTTAAATTGAGGGGTGATAGATATAGGACAGATGTCAGAGGTAGGTTCTTTACTCAGGGAGTAGTAAGGACGTGGAATGCCCTGCCTGCAAAAATAGTAGACTCGCCCACTTTAAGGGCATTTAAATGGTCATTGGATAAACATATGGATGATAATGGAATAGTTTAGGTTAGATGGGCTTCAGATTGGTTTCACAGGTCGGCGCAACATCGAGGGCCGAAGGGCCTGTACTGCGCTGTAATGTTCTACGTTCTAGATGGAGCTGTTCTGGAATACATGCAGTATAGAACATGCAACAAAAAGAACAGTTGGGAAAGAAAGTCTCCAAGTAGCCAGAAAATCAAGCAAATTTTGCCAGGAGATTAAAACGATTTCACAGCATCTCCCTTTGAGACACCTCAAGAGAAGAAATTTAAGGCAAGCAGAGCAAATTTCCCAAAAGTAAACTTTTGCCTGAGGGAAAATATCCTACTTCAGGATGATTTGGCGATATTGAAAACTTTCAGAATACGCATTGCATTGCAAATAAATACTCACTCGAATGTGACGCTGCTTATCAGTCACTTCTGACTCAACATTACGAAGAACGTCCAACAGGCTTGCTTTTTTTTCTTCACTATCATTCTGAAAAATGCGAAGCTCCTCTTTCTTTTTGCCTGAAAATCTGTCCAGCATCATTAACTCTTTCTGCAGTGCTTCAATCTGATGGGAGAGAAACAAAAGTCACAATATCACAGCTGTAAATTTGGTCCTAGATTTAAAATTAAAATTATGAATTGGAAGTTAAGCCTTTGCCTCCACTGTGTTTCATCTTGTGTTCTTTTGAAAAATATATTCTTAACCGTATCAAATTTCCAAGTTTTTCTTTCATTTATAGAATCTCCCAAGCCATTCAGAACACTGGCTGAGAGGCAAGCAAGTGACCAGCATTCAAGTCTTTGATTATGCTGGTCTGTTACTAGACACAAAGAAGTGAGTGACGAGCTAGTTAATATTTCCACATTTTCCAACTTGTTGGCATCTTGCTCCATACTTCAACAGGAGCAACTAAATTCATTATTCCTACAGCATTAATATCTGATACTGGGTAACCTGAACAAGAAAAATTGGATTATTCGATCAATGGATTTCATGGGACTGTTTCTTAAATTACCTTACTATTTAGACTTTCCAATTCATTGTTTTTGTCCTGTATCGATGTTGCTGTTTCTCTCAACATTTCCTGGTGCTGCTTCTCTTTGGTTTCTGCCAAATGGATCTCTGCCTGTAGTTTTTCTAGGCTGAACAGTAAAATTAATAAATTCTTCTGTATTATAGCTTGCAATTGGAAAAATATCTTACGTCAGCAAGAACAGCAAACATTACTTTAATGAAACTTATTCCCTGAAGATGAACTCTCCCAAATTTGTAATGTTAATTACTATTGTCTTTTATGCTGCAAAGCTGCTGTATTTTGTCCCCCAATTAGCTTCAAGTTGCATTTTATGCTATAACACTGAACAGTTACTATAAATTGAACATTGTTAGAAAATGCAAAATGTTTAGCTACTGAAGTTATTTTTCTAAAAAAAAATTACGTATTGATCATTCTTTAGCTATCAAATGCCACACCTCTCATTTTAAATACTGCATAACAGTTATTCGACCATTTCAAGCACACATACAATTACTTCATCATTACAGGCACATTTTCTAAACACCTCACAGGGATATATTAGCATTCTTAATTTTTTCTTACAGGACCAAGTTGCACACACTTGTAACAGGATGCTGCTACTGTTAGGGGTCAAACCAACCTGCACACAGCTCCCTATGGAAGAAGACTGATCAGCTTTTACATGCCAGGAGTAGATAAGAGCTGTGGAGGAATTGTTGTAGGAGCCATTGTGCAATATCTCTTCAAATTTTCAGAAATTTTCCCTTTTACTTTTTAATCTTACCATACAAACTTTGCATAACAAACAGCAGCTTCTTTAATTAGTCCTGCACATTAAAAGCTTTTCGTCCTTGCTTTCACACATATGATAGAGCATAGATTAGAGAGGGAGGTCTTCGTTCTTGTATCATCACTTGTATGCAGGCACTAAGGTTAAGGGATAGGATGTCAAAGGTACCAGCCCACTGGGATGATAAAATTACATCAGAGATAGTAGGAACTGCAGATGCTGGAGAATCCGAGACAACAAGGTGCAGGGCTGGATGAACACAGCAGGCCAAGCAGCATCATAGGAGCAGAGAGGCTGACGTTTCGGGCCTAGACCCTTCATCAGAAAAGGGGGAGGGGAAGGGGGTTTTGAAATAAATAGGGAGAGAGTGGGAGGCGGATAGAAGAGGGATAGAGGAGAGGATAGGTGGAGAGGAAACAAACAGGTCGAAGAGGCGGGGATGGAGCCAG